TTGAGAGTACGTTTACTGAAATTGATTTTTCTTTACTCCATCTTTCTTTACAATAGTTCAACACTAGTTCACAATCCTCATTCCATTGCTTGAATGGTCTTTCATTCATCAGAGCTGTAAATCTGTCCATCTCTAGCATAATCTAGTACTTTATTTAAATAATCATCTATTTTTGGTATTTCCAGGCTTTTCCATTTTTTTGCAAAAATAATCATAGCTGCGGATACTATGTATAATATGCACTTTAGATGTTTCCTTAATGTTTTGTCCTGCACTATATTTAACAAAAATAGTTCCAGCTCTAAATCAACTGTATTTTAAAAATTTGTTGTATCATTTTTTGAATTTCTGTCCAAAATTTCTTAACTGTGGAACATGCCCACCAGACAAGATAGAACATCCCTTCTGATTGGTCCCATTTCCAACATTTTCCTTTACCATTTTTGTAGATTTGCCAGTCTGCTCAACTACCATCTGTGCATCATTTCATAAACTTTTTCCTTCACTTCCATGCTTAATGTAAATTTCAAGTCCTGACCCCAAGCTTTCTCCCAGCTGTCTAGATGGATTGCGCAACCAATGTTTTTGGCCCACTTTATCATTACTTCTTTTACTACCTCTGTTTCCATATCTACTTTCATGAGAATGTTATAGAATTTGGAGATAGCACCTTTCTTATTTTCTAATAGAGTTTCATAAAAGTCTGTATTGTCTCTTGAGATGCTTTCTGATTTAATGTGAATTCTTGCTCTTTCTCTCAATTGCAAATAAAAGAACCACTGACATTTTTCCCTTCCACTTCCAATTTGGATTTTTTTTTAATCCTGGGTTCAGATCATCCCAGTTTATTAGATGTTGGTATTTCAGCCAATTTCCATTTTCTCTTTTAGATAATTTCATAAATGCTACATGTGGGGAGGTCTAATCCGGTATTTTCATGTAAAATTTATTTTTGTATTTTAGCCAAACTCTTAATAAAGAGTTTCTAATTATGTGATCCTTAAAGTTCTTATTCACTTCATATTTATTATAACAAAAATAGACATGCCACCTGTATCTTGTATTAAATCCTTCCAAATTCAGCAATTTCATATCTTTTAAAATGGACCTATTTCTTTATCCAGTTCATGCAACAGGGAGGATAATAAATTTTGAGATCTGGGATGCCTAATACCCCTCTTTCTTTTGCATCTTTCAGGACCTTTCATCAAATTCTTGGTTTTCTTCTGGCCTAAATAAATTTCGATAATTCTTTCTTCCATTGTTCAAAAGGTGTGTCATTAAAAATGATCAGGAGATTCTGAAATAAGGACATAAATTTTGGGAGGACACTCATTTTTATTGCAGCTATCCTACCCATCCATGACAAATTTAGATTAGATCAGTTTTCCAATCCTTTCTTTATATCCTTCCATAAAGTCTGATAATTATTGTCGTAAAGTTCAGAAGTTTTTTTTTTTGTAAAATATATTCCCAAATATTTTATTTTTATCTGAATTTGGAAGCCAGGTCTTTCTTGGAGTTCTTTATCTTCTTTCTTACTCATATTAAGCATCATTATTATTGATTTTTTTCTTATTTACCTTAAAACCTTTATAAAGACCTAATCCTTCCATCATTTCTGTAAGTATATCTATATTTTCAATTGGATCTTTCAGAAAATCAGAATATCATCAGCATATGCTCTTATTTGGACTTCTGCACCTTTTATGGCTATGCCTTTTAGTTCTTTATTTTTTCACATAGAGTGTCCAGACACAAGATAAACAATAATGTAGATAGCAGGCACCCTTGTCTCATTCCCTTCATGATTTCCCATACTCTAAATTCAAAGTTCTTTATAAAATTTTGCTTTATTAGTCAGCGGCCCATACATTCCTATTAATAGTCGTATTTTTTCTGTATTGTTTCAAGCGCTATATATCTTTGTTCTTTACACCCAAAATTTCTTTTGTCGGAATCCAATTAGAAACATAGACAGCTATTCTGCTTTTCTTTTTGTTTTTTGCCAAAATAAAGTTCTGACCTAATTTTGCGTTTCTTAAATACTTTTTATCTTGACTTCTGATTTGGGTTTCTTGAATACAATTTATCTCAGCTTTTTCTTTTTCCAGTGGATGAAAAACATGTTTCCTTTTATGTGGAAAATTCATTCCTGGACATTCCAAGATAAAATTTGTATTCTTGAATTTTCTAATTCTTTATGCTAGTATATTTATTTCTTCTCAGAATTCCTCTGTCTCCTTTGTCAAATCCTGTTCATTAACTTCTTTGTTGTCTATCTCTGTTACTTCTCCATATGACCTTCTTGTCTTTCCTCCTTCCCTTCTTCTCTTGATATTTCTGAGCCCGGTCATGTCTGTTGATCAGTTAAGTCCTTCTCCTGGTCCTTTTGACGTTTCCTCTCCTGTTTACCTCCATTTCTGTAACATCTACTTTCTTGTATTCTCTTGTTTTGT